TATGTACGCGCGTGTGTGTGTGTGTGTAGGCACACAGGTATATGTATAATATTTAAAAGGCCAATGTGCCATCAGAATTGGATTTGGTGTCAGATAGTACACTTAATCTTAATTAAAAGGTTGAGAAGTGATAAACGGTTTTAGAAGCACTCAAAATACTATTGGGGAAGAGCTGCCTCCTCAAGAAAGATGCAACCCTGATGATGATGGATCATTATTAGTGCATGGATCAAAGCTTTTGGGACCTTCATTTGCTTATGAACACAACTAAAAATGAGAAGAAATGGCTGTTAGCATTCATTGATGATAAGCATCTGAAATTTTATGAAGTATGAATTTAGGAAAATTAGAAGTTTTCAAAAATGAAATGGAATACCAAAAATTGGATATCCTAGGCATTGGTAAACCGAACTGAATTGTTAGTTGCCATTTTGAATCAGACAATCATATGGCTTACTATATTTGGAATGACAATTCAACAGGAATGGCATCACCTTAATTGTTAAAATGAACATTTCAAGATCTGTCTTGAAGTACAATGCTGTCTGTGATGGAATAATATCTGTACACATACGCACCAACTACTAAAGCCAATGATGAATAAGTTGAAGAATTTTACCAATGTTTCTATCTGGAATCATTCAAACCTGCTATAATTAAGATGCATTAGTAATTAGTTATAATTGGAATGTGAAAAATTGGAAACTAGAAGGATCAGTAATTGAAAAATATGGCTAGAGAGTACATGATAGAATTTTGCAAGACTAAGTACTTGATCATTGCAAATACTTTTTTTCAACAACTTATGTAGCAACTGTACACCCAGAATGTCCCTTAATAACCTTCAAGGATAGAGCAATTTCATCTCATGCATTTGGACATATTATCAGGAGGGACCGACCAATCCCTAGAAAAGGACATCTTACAATAGAGGGTTCTTGTAAAAGAGAAGACCCTAATCAAGAAAATTGACACAGTGGCTGTTACAATGAGCTCAAACATACTGTCTGAGGTTGGTCCTGGGTCGGGCAGTGTTTCATCCGTGGTCTGTAGGGTTGTTCTGGGTAGGAAATAGCTCAGTGGCACCTAAAAAGACAACATAAAAATGTCATCCTCAGAGTAATGTCTTCAAGCTCCAACCATACTGTAGCATGTACCAGGACTTAACTCTCCCACTTACTGATATTTGTAGCTCATTTTGTTTATTCATTTGTCTGTTGGTGTAGCCAGTTAAGTTATTCTCACTTTTTGGCTATTGTGAATAGTGCTGCAGTGAATGAAACATTGACGTACACATTTCATTATTCCTAGTGTTTTGGATAAATATACCTGTGAGCATTCTATTTTTTGGTTTTTTGAGGAATGGCCAGTTTGTTTGTTTTTCAACAGCTACAGTAGTTTGCTTTCTGTATGCTTTCTTGCTTTCAAGTTATGATAAGGGTCATTTTCTTTCCGTTGCTTTAAATTGTCATCATAGGTGATGTAAAGATTGTCAGCTTGAATCTACCCAGTGCCCACACAAAGAGATTTGCCAAACTACTGTAACGATTTCAGACAAGAAAATTCTTTGGACCAGCATTGTGGTTGGCTCTGTAACATGGGATAACCATGAGTCAGTAGCCAAGTCAGCAACTAAAAATAATATGTATAGTATATCATTTTAAAAAGATGCGCTGTACTTTTCTAGGATACCATTTCAGTTATTTAACA